CGGAGGGAGGCAGGCAGGGAGCTGCCCGTCGGCACCCTGCCTCGGCCGGTCCGCGGGCTGCAGCGAGCGCGCCCCCTGGCGGCCGCGTGACGCCGAGCTCGGGGGCGGGGCTGCGTGCGCCTGCGCTGCTCCGGCCTCTGCCTGGGCGGCTGCTTTTAAGAAAAAAAAAAAAAGTGGGTATTTATTATTACAAGTGGCCTTGTGTCAGACACACTCAGTTACACAAACGTGCACACTCAGCTCCCCGCGGACACTCACCGATGGCCTTTCAGCGCGAGGAGGAAGCTGGAGTCCGAGTAGCACTAGCAGGCTGGGGGTCTGGGTCCCCGGGAGGCGGCCCGCAAAAGACCCCAGGGACTTCAGCACTCCCTCGCTGGTCCTAGAGACCTCCCGGGGGCAGCTTTTCATTTGTGCCCCCTTGGGCTGGAGGAAGGGGGCCAGAGACCCTGTGCCCAGCCCAGTACAGCAAGCCCACCTGACCGCAGGGGGGGTGGGGGGGTGGCGAATACTTAATTCAGTGTTCCCTGTGTAGTGGCGAGAAGGCAGGGGGCAGGGCCGCCCCTCTAAGAACAGCCCGAGACGCACTGGCGAGCTTGCCCCTCCGTTCCCCACCCACCTTCCTGCCCCGTGAGGCCGGTGCCAGGCCGCAACTGCCGTGCCAGCCCCTCGGGCCTGCAGATACCTCATCTGTCCCCCGCCATCCGTCCCCCACCACCTCCCGCAGTGGGGCCTCCGAATCTAGTGCCGAATGACTATGTCCAGATTGGTGAAGATGGGTGTTGTTGCCGTTGTTTTTGTTGTCGTTTGTGAACGCTGTGATGCCGTGTGCCCGTGAGGGCGGCCACCGCCCAAGCCCTTCTTGGGGGCATTTCCCCTCCACGAGCTGTCCGCTGTCGGGACCACATCTGTCCTCGCCCGGTGGGACAGCCCGCCCCTTCCCACCCTCGCCCTTCCAGCCTGGGGGACGCAGACACATCTTACCTCTCATGCGTGTTTTGCTTTTTGATGTTCAGAGTGACTCACTGGCTGGGAGGCTTTACCTCGGGGAGAGGGGGAGGCTGGTTCCTTGGGGGGCCAAAGAAGGGCAGGGGAGGCCTGGAGGGCAGGGAGGGGGTCACCAACTCCCCTTCCCTCCAGGAGCAGCTGCTGCTTTCCCCAGCCCAGAGTCCCACCCTCCACCCCTCAAAGAGGTGGCCCTTGTTTACAGTGAGGACTCAGTCACTGTGTCTCCGTTTCCTGAAATATAAACTGTAGCAACCCCAGACTGTAGAGATTTTTATGTGTTTGAATACATCTGCTGCGTGGGGTGGGAGAAAAACTACAAAACCCTAATTTTGTACATATTGTATTTTTACTATTAAACTGTATTCTAGTGGCTGTTCATGCTCCAAGACTAGGGGTTGAGACATGAATACTATCCATGTAATAAGCACTTGCCTGGAATAAAATATAAGATGAAATAAACCTGCACTGAAACCGGAGGTGGAGCTGCCAGCCTGCAGCGTCTGGATGGTTTTATTGTACGCGGGCAGGTGAGGGAGGCCTGCGAGGAAAGATCCGTGGGACAGCTGTCAGCCCCGCTTACCACTCTAGGGCTGGGACCTGTCCCAGCAAAGCTCATACACAGGACTTCGTATTCCTTAGACTTTGGTCACACTTGACACTCCAATCCATGTTCACAAACATTCCCTTCATCTCAGCACAAGGAAGTCACTAGAACGCGCTGCACTTTGGCCGGTCAGGGCGCAGGGTCAAGATGACTGGTGGTCATCTTGCTGCTAGCTAGCCTCAGACTGAGTTAGTCAGATGTCAACCCATCACAGTACCCAGGCATTTGCCATCTCCATCTGTTGGAGGCACCCCTGAACGCAAGGAAGTTCCAGTCGGGAGGAGGCAGGGGTTGCCTCGGGGACTGGGCCCACAGCGTTGGAATTCTCCCTGGTGCAGGTGTGCCCCCCCACCCCCACCCCAGTGACTGCCTGTGAAGCTGTCCCTTTCAGAGGCAGGAATGAGAAAGGGCCCACGGTCAGAGTCATGTTCTTAACTGATCCTGGAAGACCTTCGTCCCCACTGTGCACAGGCCCTGCAAGCTGTCTCAGCAGTGGTGAGGGAAATGAGGTCAGGGCGCCAGGCTCACCTGTAGTCCCGCTGCCCAGTCTCACCTTTGTAACTCCTGGGAGCGCCTGACTCAGCCCCAGCTGGGGGCACTTAACTCAGCGTTTCTTCCCAGCGTGGGTTTGTCTGCAGGAGAGCTTGACCCCTCAGGGAAAGGGTTGGTGGTGATGGTCAGGAATACCTTGTCAGGGGTCCCATCCCCTGAGAAAGGCCAGGCAACCCCCTTGCTCTTCCCCCATTGTCCCACTGCCTCTATAGGCCCTTTCATGTGAGATGCTGGCTCCCTCTGCTGGCAGCTCTGGGAAGTGAGGGATCCCTTCCACTGGCCCACTAGCCTCTTGGCTGTCCGTTAGTGAGGAGTCGTCTCCTACAACCTGCAGAAACACGCCCTGGTCTTTATTCTCCAGGGGAGGGTTTTCACATGATAACGTGTCAGCAGCTGAGCATTTAACCAAAGTACCACCAGGGTTCCTTCAAAAGACCAGCATTTCCTGATCCCCCACTGCCCAGCTCTGGACCCATGGGTGAAGACCCTGCTCAGGGTAGTGATGGCCCAGTATCATCAGACTCAGTTTAAGAGTAGGCCACTTCTCTCTATCCTCAGAGGACAGTTCCCCAAGCTGAGCCGGGCCCCCAAGGAGGATTGAACAACAGTGAAAACCCCAGTACAAATTCAGGTTCTGCCATCTACCCTCCCAAAAGGTCCCTGGGCAGCAGGAATCATTTGCTCTATAAACCCAAAGGTTGGTAGTTTAAACCCACTGAGCAACCAACCTTCTATAGAGCATGTGGTGCCGGGCTGTGGCATCAGTTCTGGCCCATTCCAGGAAACATTGCCTGGGCTGCACCAGCCTCCCAATTGTTGCTGTTTGGGCCCATTTTGAGGTGTGTTATTTGTGTGTGTGTGTGTGTGAACCATGTTACTCCATCTCGTCCAGGGACTCTTTCTTTGCATGGACCCTCAACTTTACCCAGCCCAATGTCTTTCTCCAGGGACGGCTCCCTCCTCGGTAAAGATTACGGCCAAGACAACCCAGTGGGGCAGTTGCACTCTGTTAACTGCTGGGGTCTCTGGAAGTCACCACCAACTCTGACCAGAGTCCAGGTCTAGGAAGACTTCCTTTCTGAGTCCTGAGAGTTACCCACACTGGTTCTTCCCACCCCCTTCCCCCAGTGGACCCACGGCTTGCCTGTGGGATTCCCTCAGTCCTGACTCAGAAGGCCTCAAGCAGAGAGCAAGCACCTGGGAGGTGAGGGGGTGGAGTAGGGAGAAGGGGGGAATTTTTGAGCCCACTGGACTGCTATCAGGCTAGTTTATTCAAGCCCTTTGAAGAATTCCTTTCAGGTGGAGGAACCAGCAAAGGGAATTGACAGCCACTGGGCGAGTCACCTGGGGTGGGGGGGGCGGGGTGCGTTCCCGACGGGCTTATGAAGTTGGCGTGTTCCCAGGCTCCACAGCTCCCTGTCACTGGTTGGCCCAGGCAGCTTTGGCCACTAGTCCGCGTTTCTGCGTTAACAGTACAGCCAGGCAGGGCTGTGACCTATGATTGGCAGCAGCTCTTGAGAATGAGTTGATTACGGACTCCTATGTTGAGAGCTTCTAGCACCAGAGGCAACATGTTGGATAACTGGAGTCCTTTTGTCAGAAGTCTTCAGTGGAAGGCCTTGAGGCTGAGACCAGAGGCAGGTGAGGGGAGGGCAGGAGAAGGGGTGAGGGTCTTTTGTTAGTTAGGCCCTTTCTATGTCCTGGACTAGCTCCTCATTTTGACCTCAGCATGCCTGGCCCCTTCAGACCCCAGTTCCCACTCCCTCAATGCCCCAGCCGGTGGTACACCAAGGCAGTGCTGGGGGCAGCCCATAAGAGACCCCTGCAGTAGCAGCAGCTCCTCACCACAGGCTGGAGGGGCATGGAGGTCCCCCGTCCAGCTGCAAGTTCTCCGCTAGAGCCCGGTCAGCATGGAGGGAGGGCTGGTCCATGACCGTCACCTCCCACACCACACAGTCCAAGGTACCTCTCCTGGAAGCTTCTGTCGTCCTCCCTCCATCCTGGCCTTCCGGGGGCTGCCCCTCTCCCTGTTCCCCAGTGTGCACAGTCCCTCAGCGCCTGGCATAGCCCACCAGCAACCCCCGAGCCACGCACCTTGCCAAATGCTGTGTTTATTGATCTGTTACACTGAAGAGTATAGTTTCTGAGCCAGAGAAACAACAAAACACACTCTGCTCCTCACAAAAACCACAGGGGGGGTGGGGGGGGAGACACACGATGGCCACCCATGCTGCTGGGCTCATGGATGGGGCTGGCCCCTCGACAAGCTGTGCAGAGCCCGGGGCAGGGGTGGTGGGCTGGATGCAAAAGGACTGGGGCCTATTGTTTCTATGTTTCTCAGTGGGCAGGCGGCGGCCAGGCCTCGGTGAGTGCTGGGCAGGCCCGGGCCCTGGCAGAGGCGCCTCTGTGCCCTTGGACAAGGCCTGGCCTGCATGTGACAGGGGTTGGGGGCGGGGGCAGAGGGTAGTAGGGGGCAGAGCAAGCAGCATGCCTAGGCCTGGGGTCAGGGCCCTTCCTAGCACCCCAATGAGTGAGTATGGTTCCTCAAAAGGGGGGATGTGCAGGAGAGGGACCTGGGAGAGGTGCCTCAAAAGGGGGGCTGTGGAGGAGAGATGTGAAGGCAAGGCAGAGCCCACCCTGCGCCTCACCAGGAACAAGCAGGGGAGACGCAGGCACCCCCACCTCTCAGCTTGGGGCCTGTCCCTGAGGCAGACTGCCGGTGTGGCCTTCCCATACTGCCTCAGGTCACCCGGTGGCACAGCACCACCCTCATCACTCAGTGTCCAGGGATGCAGCTAATGCATGAAGCATGGGCAGGGGCCAAGAGGCTGCAGACACGTGGGTGCCCCATACAGGTGGCGGAGTGCTGGGGTCACCTCAGGGACCAAAGGCAGTGCAGTGCTGAGGGCCTCCGGGGAGGGCCTGGCTAGGGGCCCAGGTCTTCTGAGCCCGGGGAAGGAACTGGCTGCGTCTCCACCATGCTGGGCTGGTGCCAGGGCCCTCCGGGCAGACACAGTCCAGATCTCTCTGGTCCGAATGACCTCACTGTCAATTCTGCAGAGCCCCGAGGGCTCCAGAGAGGCCAGGGGACAGTTTAGGTGGAGGGCCCCGGGGGCAGTGGGGCCAGTCCCAGCTGTCTGAGCGGGGAGTGCACAGGTGTCCCCTCAGGGTGGCAGCACCCGAGAGAAGCTGAGCCCTCCCCTGCTGGCACTGATTGGAGGGCCTCCAGGCACCCCCCACCCCCCCCCACCCCCCTGCCCTGCGGAGCTGGAACTGCCCGGCGCTGGAGTCAGAGCCCAGGCTCACAAGCACTTTGTTAGGTGCCCGCTCTTTCGGGCAGGTGGGATTGGCTGGGGTGGGGGGTGGGGCGCCACCCAGGCCCCCGGCCCTCACTTGTTCTCGATGAGCATCTGCACCTTGTGGACGAGGTCCCGGGCAATCCGCAGGATCTCCTGGGCATCGTGCCGCTCGGCGCGTTCTGGAGGACACGGGGGTCACCGTGGGGAGGTCTGTCCCCGTGTAAGGAACCGGGGGCTGGCCGGGCCGGCTCCTACCATTGAAGAACTTGATGATGTCAGTGAAGTCCATGTTGTTGTCACGGATGATCTCCCGGTAGACCTCCACCAGGGCCAGGGCGATGAACAGGACGAAGTGCTCCGAGGAGACGTGTCGGGCGGCCCAGATCACCTCCCACACGGCGAACACGTCCTCGTACAGCAGCTCTGGGGCCAGCGAGCCGCCAGGCTGAGCCACTGCCAGGCAGGCAGCGTGCCTGGGGCCCCTGCCCATCCCAGAGGGGGGGGATTCCCTAGGAGGGGGGGTTCCAGGAGGTCTAGCCCTCCTGCCTGGGGTGGCGGGGGAGGTGGGGGAGCAGCTCTGCTGACCCCACACTTTCTCTGGGGCCACTAGGTGGCACACCTGGGCTTTGACTCCGGTGTACAGGAGAGCCATGTTCACCAGGGGGTGAGGGGGGAGCGCTTTCAGACACCCTAGTGCCCAGGTTGGGGGGCAAGGCACTGGGCATTTTAAAAGACGTTCCAGGTGATTCCAAAGTGTGGGGCAGTGAGGAGGAAGAGGAGGAGGAGGAGGATTTCCCACTGGTTTGGCCGCCCGCCCCCGCCCCTCCTTACCTCGCTTGAAGTCCAGCAGAAACCAGCGGTAGCAGAAGTAGAGGTGGGTGTAGTCCCCGTTCTGGTGCATGAGCTCAAACAGCTCTGAGTCCAGGATCTGGCGTTGACGGGGAGGTGAGGGACAGGACTAGACGCTGCCTTGCCCCACAGCCCTGCATCCCCTACCTGGGATTGCTCTGGCCCCCAGAGACCTGGCCGACAGCCTGGTACTTGTGTCCTCTCCCCCTCCGGTGTCCCCATATGGGGCTGCACTCTTGCCCCCCACTCTTTTGGGTGCTATGGATGTAGTTTTCTGGGTGCTTGATTTCATCTCCCCCACCCCCCACCCTCACTTGAACTGTCATGGGTATGAGGGTTTGCCTCCCTAAGCCCACTGAGCCCCGGACCCCTGCCACGGAGGGGCTCCCATGCACAGTGAGCCTAGACTGTACATCTTCTAGAGGGCAGACAAACTCATCTTTCTCAAGAGGGGGGTTGGTGCCTGTGAACTGCGTACCTCGCACCTCACCGGAGGCACCTCCTCGGTTTCTAACATTGGGAAACGGGCTTTATCTCAAGGAGCAAGATCAGAGGTATACTGGAGGGCATGGCGTGAGCCGGGCCAGCCTGGTGGCACGGGCACCAGCGGGCTGCGGCCTCACCTGGATGAGCGCACGCATGTTGGCGAAGTGGGTGTCCATGGCGCCCCCGCTGGGGAAGTTCTGGCTCATCCTCATCATGAGGTGGCTGAAACAGCTGTAGGCCAGCTGATCTGTGGGCAGACCAGACAGAGACAGGAGTCAGGCCGGCAGGGTGTGACCGCCTCCTCACCCCCCAGGCCCCACCTCCCGAGAGAGAGAAGTTGGTTTCTGCCCCGGGGGCCTGCGTTTCCCTTCTCTGCCTGCAGCGGCCCCACCCCAGCACCATTTGGGGCGATGTGCTCTGGAGGCTGGGTGGGGCCCCTGGTCCTCACCATTGTCAAGGACGACCAGGAGAGGTGCCAGCAGGTCACACATGCCTTGCACATAGCCCACGTCCAGGTGCTCCCAGACATAGCTGAAATGCCAGGAAGAGTCATGGCGGTGGTCCCACCTCCTCCTCCCCTCCCCAGAGCCAGGCTAAGGGGCAGGCCAGGGAGGGCCCCTGGAGCAGCCTTTCTGTCGACAGCCCCCAAGCCCTTCCTCGGGGCCCCACCATCCACCCATAGGGCACTCAGGGACTCGGGAAGGGACACCCCAACGGGGCTGGTAGGGACTGGGGAAACCCTGGAGTGGCCCCAGCAGAGCCTGCTGCGAAGCCTGAGGGGGGCGGTGGTGGGGCTCATGTGCCATACAAAGTGGCCCCAACAGAGGGACCCGCGCTCTGACCCAATCCCAGGCCACCCTCCCGCCCCTCAGTGGCACCTGCACATGATGTCTCGCAGCCGCTCGAGGTTGGGGGGCGTGAAGTACCAGTAGTTGCGGTCGCATCTCTGCACGTCTTTGTCTATGCGGTGCAGGTTTAAGGCCACGGTGTCTAGTAACTCTATCTGGAGGAGCAGAGGACCCTCAGAGCCGAGCCAGCCCCGCCATTCCAGGTGGGGGATGCACAAAGAAAGATTTACGGCCAGGGCCAACAAGGAGAGTAGAGATACCAGGGGAATTAGGAGAGGGTGGGGGGAAGAAGGGAATCGACCACAAGGATCGATCTATAACCCCCTCCCAGGGGGACCAACAAAAGAAAAGTGGGTGAGGGGCAACAGAGGACGATGTAAGACATGAAAATAATAATCTATAACTAATCATGGGTTCGTGAGGGCAGGTGGGCAGGGGAGAAATGGGGAGCTGATATCAGGGGCTCAAGTAGAAAAGAATGCTTTGACGATGGTGGCGGCCTATGTGCAGAGGTGCTTGACCCTCCGGAGGAATGTATGGATTGTGATAGGAGATATCAGAGCCCCCAGTAAGAAAGATGCGCAGCAAGGGCAGGGGCCAAGGGCACTGACTGAGAGAAGGCTGAGTGGGGGGTGCAGGTGGGGGAGGAGCCTTGGCAGCGACCTCCAGCAAGGTCAGCGCACCCCTCCCTCCACCCGCAGCAGCCCGTGGGGAGCGGCGCCCACGTACAGTGTAGGCAGCGGCACACACAGCCTCCGCCAGTTCGCTGCCTGGTGGGGCCTTCTCCTGGCTGGGGTCTTGGGGCTCAGAGAACGCAAGGGCGGAACCGACTGGCCCGTCAGAGCCGTCCTCCTCCTCAAAGCCCAGGCTCTGTCCCTCGTCGAGGCTCGACTGGACGCCCGAGGCCACGGAGTAGTTCCGAGAGGACGGCAGGCCCGAGTCTGGCGAGTCGAACTCCACGGACTGCTGCTGCTCCACCATCGCGGTGCCCGGCGTGCCTGCTCCCCGCTCCCGCTCGGCCTTGGGCCCAGGCTCTTCAGTGCCCGGGGGCCCTGGGGGCTCTAGGTCATCTACAGAGATGAACACCTGGTGGGGGGGCATGGGTGGAGCAGGCTCACATCTGCACCCCAGCGCCCTGACTCCTTCCTGGGTCAGAACTGAGCCCTCCTCTCTTCACACTCCAGCCCCCGCCCTGCCCCAAGGCCGCCCCTCCGAGGGAACTCCCTCCGGCTCTAGGCACACAGGAAGGGACCCCGGTGGGCCCTGCCTGGTGGCCCCTCCCCAGGGCTCCTTCTGGAACATGAGAATATTGTAGCTCAAAAGGGCAACTGAGGCCTGGAGATAGAAAGCTCTTGTCCAGAGACACTTGGATCTAAAACCGGATGCCATTCCCAGCCTGGCGGTCTCTCCATCAGGGGAAGGGCAACCCCAAAACTTGGACATGACCAACGTTTCCCTCTTAGTTTGCAGCAAGCACCATGGGCACACGGCATTTGTGTGTATGTGGGTGTCTATGTCCGTCCATATGGTTACTGCCTTGTTCCGGGGCAGGAACGAGACGGGCACACCGAGCCTGCTCCCAGGCCTGCTGCCTGGGTGTGCTGCCCCACCTCCCCCAGGGTCCCGTCCATCCGGTGCCCACCTCGTTGCTAAGGGTGGAGTCCCGGTGGACGAGGCGCTGCACGTGGCTGTCGATGCTGCTGCCCGAGGAGAACTTGGCCAACGTGGCGGGGTGGGCCTCCCGCTCCCGCTGCCTCACCACCCCTTCGCAGGCCTTCCACTCTGCCAGCACCCGCTGGTACCTGGCCGCCACCACCGCGTCCACCTGCACCCAATCATACCATGCCCATGCCCATGACTGTGGGGGGCGGTGAGCAGAAGGGCCCGCAGAGGCTTCTGAGGCCCCCTCCCTGGCTCCCCACCTGCTCCATCTCCTTCTTGCTGGTGCCGAACGTGTAGTGGCCAAGCAGGAAGGGCCAGACGTCCTTTCGGACCTCGTGCTCCACGCCCCCATAGTACACCTGCCGCAGCAGCTCCAGCTCCTTGTAGTTCTGAGGGGCCGGGGCAGCACACTGAGCAGCCCTGCCCACAGACCCCCTGGCCTCTGGGGCTGGGAAGGCAGGCCCATCTCTGCCTGTGGCCACAGGTCCCTCCCCTCCTTGCAGGGCAGGGAGCCGAGCTTGGAAGACGTGGGTTGGCACAGAGCGGTGTGGAGGGAGACTCCCCAGACAGCCCCAGCCCTCCATGCACACACGCTCAGTCCGCACAGGCTGCCCTGCACTCACCACTGCCCACTCCAGCCCTTCGCCCCGGCACCTTTTTGTCCTTCTGGTATTTGCTCCACACATCCTTGGTGAGGCCCCCGGCAGCCCCTGGGGGCCGGTCATGGGGGAGGACATTGTGGTGCACCAGCGCTGACAGGTGGGTCCGTACTGTGGAGAGGTGGCGGCAGTACGCCAGCCCTGTGAGGAGGGGGTCAGGAGGCCGTGAGCCTGTGCCTCCCTCGGC